CAGAATTAATCCTGTTAAAACTTTGGCATGTATTGAAATGATGATAAACATAATATTCGACTGCAAATGACATAGTGTATGAAGAAACGTTATCTACTTCCAAGATATGATATAACCTACAGAGAAATGATATCAACGTAATGGAGATAAGACATCAACCTTTCAAACACTAACTACGTGAGTCAAACACCTATTATCATCCTCAGAGTGTGGAGTGGCTATCATCTCTTCCGCTGCATGTGTATGTGTGTGTGTCATTTGATAACACAACAATGACTCAAGCAGATTTATCTGCTCCCAACTTCAGCGTGAGACGATATGCACAAGAATATTTAAACATGTTTGCCAGAAACGATGTTCAGGATGCAGGTTAAATGGGCCTCCACTCTTACCATTAAGATTGGACCCTATTAAGACTTGAAACCTTTATGGCAGAGGTTTATTGAAGACTGGTGACCCATGATGACTTAAACCTATTAAGATTGGGGCACATTGGGATGTGTTCTCTTATAAGAGCCCATAAACACATTAATACTCGTACAAACATACACTCAAAACTAACACACAATAATGTAATGAACACTATTTAACCCCCCCCCCCCAACACACACACTAATGATTAACAAAGAAGCTTCTCTCTCTCTCGCTCGCACAACACTGTGTCAACTCAAGTTACACTGCCAGGCAACCCTTGAACAAATTGACACATTCCTCAGATGCCACTAAGGGTGACAATTTAACACTGATCTGCACTGTGTCATGAGAATATTTTTTTTTCTTTTACCTAAAGGTTAAGAAACTATGTCCCTCAGGGAGTCAGGGAAAAGGGATTGCAAGATATAAGAAGGAAGTGGTAGGGAGGGGTGCAAGACATAGGAAGGAGAGAGGGAGGGAAGGATTGAAAAATACTAGGAGAAAAAAAAGACATGGAAAGTTAGGGAGAGAGAATATGGAAGAGGCAGCAAAATGGGAGGAAACAAAATGCTAAAGCAAGATTGGAGAGAAGGAACAAGCAATCTTAGGTTAAAAAAATATCCCCGGGCCTAAACAGATGCGAGATAAGGTTTTTATCCAGTGTGACCCTACCAAACAAATATCACAGGTTTTGTCCAGATACTTCTTCTGTCCTGGTAACTAACACTGAATAAGTGAGTCCATGACAAAGTAACAAAGAACAGACCAACCACCCAAAAAGCTAATACGCTGGTAAGTAAAAAAAAAAATAATTAAATCAAACATCGAATAGCCATAATGGGCATGTCCGAGATCCAAGTGAGATGAAGGAAGGAAGGAAGGAAGGAAGGAAGGAAGGAAGGAAGGAAGGAAGGAAGGAAGGAAGGAAGGAAGGAAGGAAGGAAGGAAGGAAGGGAAGAAGAATGAGTCAGTCATCAGATCAGTATACCTCAAGTACACACATACTGAGTGGATAGCCTTAGCAAATAGCCCGAGGGATGCTGAGGACTTGTGTACCTACACCACTCATCCATAATCAGTGCTTACAACAAAACAATGTTCCCTCTCCTGAACTACACCCCAAAACAATAATCAAATAAAACTAGAGACATTAACAATCCAATCATCACAAGCAAAACAACTTTCTGAGATGAAGCTAAATAATTATTGACTATTACCTCGACATCAGTTAGGGGCAGTAGAGTGCCTGTGTGCTATGGTAAATGGGTCCCCCCTTTCCTCCCCTTAAAAAAATCTTCAAAAGATTAACCACCCTAATGCTAACCTCACTAACTTAACCCCATCTCTCAAATAGTGTCAGGGTGGTTAGTCTCTGGGTGAAATAAGCTGGGGTGGAGATTCTTCAGGTGATCCAATAATAATAACATTTATTCAGTAAAATCACCATACTAGTTTATAATTAACATGCATATAGATAATGCTGATACTGTACTGTATACAGAGAATGAGAATACACCATGAAGGTACAGTGTACAATTTCTAATGTTTCTGAACAGTTCCTAGACGATGTAGGTATAAACCAATTGTAATCAGTAAGGCAATTCAACCAGGAATAGTCAACAAAGCCATTAGATGCTTATTTCTAGTACAGTAGCTCATAGCACCATAAATGTATTTGAATGTTGAAGGGAAGGGTAAGCAGTATGTTCCTGATGGCCAAGACCTTCCCATCTAGGGAGGGGAAGGATATAAAGACCCAGGGGAGGATGAGGTCCGGCAATGATGCTCGGAGAAAAACGTCAAAAGTTTCACAAAAAAAAATTCATAGGCTATAGACACAATTCTTAATTTGCCTAAAGTTACATTACATTTGTCTTTTCTTACACTGTACATTCATTACTTCATTACAACTCGGATCTGAGCTACCAACATCATGGAATAACATGTACTGTACTGTACAGTATAGCAAGTGTAATACTGTACAGTACAATAATGTGGGATAAATAAAAATATGAATGCAATACAATCCATGATAATTATTTACCATCCAATACTGTAACTCAATAATGTAACCATTTCCCAGTCCCATGAAAACCCTTTTCATTAAGCTTGTACTTCCTCACCCCTACTGGTGGACCCACAGATTCTTCCTGTACTGTATTCTGGTATTTCTGTCAAAGTTACTTGAAACTTAAATGAATAGGGTGACTAATAAATTAAATAGTAAACTCATATCCTACACAGCTTAGTAAGGAAAACATTTCAGTCTACAGAAGTAAACAATTATCATCAATGTTTTACAAAACGTAACAATTACACATACGTACTGGTATTGAAGCAATTACATAATAACATAACAGACAAATCCTATAATTAATAGAACAAGGGATAATCTCAAAACAAGATGTTATGGCTAGTACCATAACATCTGGTTTGGAAATTCAAAAAAATTTTATGACTGCCACATCATAGGACAGATACAGTAGTAAAATATAGTATTAGGCTACTGTACTGCACAGCACATACCTGTAAAGAGGCTGTATCAGGAACATCATGTTTAGTCAGTCAGATGTCAACCATGGCTGAATTGGCTGCCATTAAAATTACATGACAAAACATGACAGCTTGCCATAAGGAGTTGCCAGGCATGTCATTTATACTAGACATTTTCGACAAAACCTTTCTCATACAGTACAGTAATCCCTTAGAAGATAGAGCAGTCATTCCTATGGTAAAATGGGCAAACCATTATAAACTCCATTGTTCAGCACATTACTGTACTGTTTTCTTCACCCTACAGGACCAGTAAATAACACATCATGGAAAAAAATGGCCAGCCCTAATATGTTCTTTATACATCTGCCTGCATACAGTATCTAAAATGTTACAGTACACAAAGTAAAGGTTACAATAACTATGCAGAAAATAATTCAGTATAAACCAATACTCGTATTCAGTAGTTGTTTTATGACAGAACACTCCGGGGTATTGTACAGAACTGTACCAGTATTAATCTTCAAATAATCACACACTAATGTAAGATGATCACCAAGGTTTTGAATTAGGGGGAAATTAGAGGGTTGGGTTAGGTCAGGTCAGGTTAAACTAAAGATATTTGTGTAAACCGCGCGCTCGGACATACTGGTTACTGCCATAATATAAATCATCATTTATAAATTACACCAACCTAACCAAACTTACAAATCTTAATCTACTGTAAACTAATATCTATCTTTTATTGTCATCATAGAAAAACAAAAAACACTTCTATAAAAGGAACCTTCCACACTTTAGGGAGGCGGAGAGAGAATCATCGCTGTGTCGAAGATCAGAGGGAGCAGCCATCAAATTGTGTTTAACAGAAAAAATTTTATCTGTTACACAAAACATATAGCTTGTGCAGTTTTTGCTAATTTCACAGGGTAAGAAAGCATTTATGTTCAATGGCAAAATACCTTACAGTAGGTAGTTAAGGTGCATAACTATCTGAACTAATACCCCCAAATAAAGCTACACACTTGGTAATAAATCATGTTTTGGACCATTATGAACAGCCACATTAGCAGAGACCTAAATGTCTCTATACACTAAGGCTTAATTCACTTGTTAGTTCTGACATAACAAAACCTTATTCATCTTACCCTTATTTACCCTCCTTTAAAAATGTCATTATTCAGAATATCAATTTAATACTCACAGTTTATCACTAAAATGCTGAGTTCACTGTATAAATCACAGCTCCAGGACTTCTGAATACTGAACATTGTTACACTGTTCAATACATCCAAAAAAAATTACAGTATGTTTCGAGTTATGTAAGCAGATATAACGAACATGAACATTGCAATACTTCTTTTATCACTGAAAAACCTTTGAAATGAGAAAAGCACCAATAAATCTCCCATATGTTTCTCAATCTTGTGTATGGCCCATAATACAATACCTCACTTCATATAACATCATCACAAGTAATTTTAGTATATCAGTGACGTCTACTACACAGTGGACCCAGAAATTCACTGTATCACTGCTTGTTCTTGACTGTCCGGTACCAGGAGCAGCTTAGGTCAGTGTTGCAAAACCTGTGTAATAATGTAACCCAAGTTTTTATATCGAATGCCGAAATGAAGCAATAATTGCCTTACACGACACGATGTCTCAACAACTTAATTGGTAATATTTCTCAAGTTCTAATAAAGTAAATGATTATGGTAGAGTAATATAAATATGAAATAACCTTGGCTTCCGTGATAACATAAAGAGCAACACAGCTGGCAGTGCTTAGCGTTATATACATGACAATGTTGCAGATATAATTAGCTGTATAAACATCTGGGCACTTACTTCACACTAAAAGCATACATCCATGGCTGCACTTAGTGACCCTCACAGCGTTACTACATAAAGCCCAGTGCCAGATTCAGCTTGCCCAAGTTAACTGAACGTTGACATGCAAGTTCACAGAAAAAAACCCTTTCTAGCCTCTTATTTCCGTAACAATATTCGATCCATTATCTATACACTGTACACTAATTTATCTCTTGGATAACTTGACTATGTAAACAACATAACAGGATATACGTCACCCCAGTTGATGCAGCACACGGAGCATAGATACTAGGAGCTCTCGTCACCACGGCAACTCTGTCAACACTGAGGAGAGAAGCAATGGTGGAGCTGGTGGGGGTGGGGGCGGTCTGGGGGGACCCTGGTGGTGGATGCCCAGCAATGTTCACAAGGGTGGAAGTAAATATTTGGCCTGTTTTCTCGCTTCAAATGTTGGACAAGGGTGGAATTACCTTAGTGGCATATTTCTCTTAGCTGATTTTGTCTACTCATTGACTATGAGACGTTGAAACTTGGAGTCTAGTTTCAACGTCTGTGGCGTACATGAGAATTATAAAGTAATTTCCGTCATCAGACGATACGGTGCAGTACAGTATGTATATTGCTAATTTATTTTCTTGCAAGAGATCCGCTGAGGGATAAAAGAAGAACGATGGATTTGATAGCATATAGCTTGTGTGGGGATTCTGCGATGCCTTACATGCAGAGAATATTTATCTCACGAGAGATGTACAGTTATGATGAGTGGGATTAGATTAATGTGGTCAAGGAGCGGTGGGGTGAAGGTTGGCATACCAGTGCTAAAAGGTATTAAGGAGATTTGGATTTTGTGAAGATTAGGCACCCCAAAAGTTCCCACCTGAAGATGTCATTCCCACTTAACCCACCGTAAATTTAAGCTGCCCGACATTACCCGGGGTGCCTAATTTTCACAAGAACCCAATACTGTACACTGTAATAAATCATAATTTTTTCATATTTTGGAAGTCCATGTTATTTAAACCAATTAATAACTTACAAAGGATCCTCACACAGTAGAGGTATCATGACAGTCTGATTGGTATTGTTTGCCATGATTAACTTATACCCAATTGAAAATATAGAAGCCTCTCTCTTTTTATTAAATAACTTCAGTTTAAGAAGAGACCATAGTGGATCTCAGGACTCACTGGAAGTTTTACCCCCTTTCCAGGTTAAGAAGAGGTGGACCTCAGTTGTCACCTTAGTCATCGGTACAGTGACCCTCAGTACCCACCTGAAGAATCCTCAGCTTCACATACCTGAATTTTAATCACCCTATCAGTAACCAGGGTTCCTAATCTTCAAGAGATCCAAATTTGCTCGAGTAGGAAAAAAATTGTTAATGACATTTATGGAATCAGAAAAAGCTGATAACAGTGGATAGAAAACTGATGTGAGAAGTGTCTGTATTAGAAATATACCTGTACTGTATAGGGTAAATTGAAAACTTGAATGCTGTCTGCAGTTTTTAAAGTATGTATTAGCTATACAGTATTGTGAATACATGTTAGTAGAGGTATACTGTGAATCATAGGTAAGTATATTGTGAATATAGAAACGTAAAGAAACAGTAAATTAATGTTGTTGTTTTTTGCTGTACCACCTAATTTCTAATTATGTATATAGAGTATTTCTTCTCGTCATACGAATGACATTGTGTTAATAAATAATACTACAGTATTGAAATCACATGCCCAAGTGGCTAACAGTGGCAAAGAGAATACTTTATAAATGAATGTCTACCTACATATCATGGGGCATCACATGTTTCGGGGGAAAAATAAGTTCAATATATTGCAGTTCTTTATTTAAATTGGATATGGATGTGATGAAAACTTATAAACTGTGCAAAATATCTATACAAATCCGTACTTCCTAAACAATCATTTGACAATGAGAATGTATCATATCTCTCTCAACTTTATTGGCACTCCATACTCTATAAAACCATTGTTGGAAAAACCCACTGAAAGTAAGTTACACATTTCAACAAGAAGACGGAACTTTTGCTAAAAAATTAAATGTTCAAAGTTGTAAAGTTATGGCTCCCAAATGATGAACTAATATGCTGATGCTTGTCATTAACAGCACAGTACTGTATGTTATAAATAACCTTGAACATTAAAGGATTATACCTAGTAAGGCAAAGCTGGGTGCACATTACAATATCACAGAAAAAAAAACTAGCACATGACTAATACTTAAACAAGCACTGTACTTAGGAATCTTTCCATCTGGCATATCCTTAATATGAAATTAGGCACATGACAATAAATAAAAAAGGCATGATGGCAATCACTCACAGGAAGTTACATGCTAAGACATGTTAAGTTCTCCACAGACTAAGTTAAATTTTGAATTTAGTCAATACTGTTTATCAAATTGGGTAATTAGGTTTTCAGCAAATGTTAAACAAATGTCTTAACTTGTCACTTTCTATGAAATGTCATTGTCCTTACACCTGAATATTCATTGATTTTCAACCTTATTTACAGAACTTTATACTGTATTATAATACACATTTACATATTTCTATGTGCTATGAAAGCATAACACTATATACAAATTCAACAACAGTTATCTAGGTGATAACTTAAAAGGAATGAATGGTATTGTATGGTAAAGCTATGACAAAATACAGCTTTATCATACAAAACAGAGGGCAAAATCTATTTAATGACTATCTTTTGACATCAAAATCAAGATACAATATCCTTCTCTTTTCAAGTGAAATTTGAATTCTCACAGGTATGCTTTAAAAAATCTAAAATATCAAAATTATCATGATTGTCCTAACAGTGACACAATTAAAACATACATTAAACAGTGCAAGACCATTTACAGTATACTGTAGTACTGTATTTAACAAATATTTTAGGAAATGATAATGAACATAACACACTATGCTCTAACTATCCTCATAACTAATATTTTGATTTCATCAAAACTAAGGCTCTTTAACCAAATGTCAACATCAAAAACACATGAGCCTTTGGATGTTAACACTGATTAAATAAAAAATTATCTGTTACTACAGTACATTCATCGGTACTGTAACTATATACAAGTTTCACCAAAATACAATTCTGATTACAGTACATTCTTCTATAACACAAATGTAAGAGGAAAAGCAAATATCTAAGAGATATAATCATATAAGTGAACTGTAAATGCAAATAACTGCTGGTAACTTAATCTAGATACTTTGTGAGAAATGTGTTACTTTGTAAAATCACATTTCTTGACAGCCAGAGTACAGTACATTCCTTTAAGAATCTATAGAGTGTTAATTCTGGGCAGAGCTGCCATCACCACAAAAATCATTGTGCACAAAGTGAAACTAATTGACATATGGTACATACATATGGGTCTGAAATAAAAGAATTTGGGCCAAAGTCTTTCTTTTCTATTAAGTTCATACACAAATCTCATAGTTTTATTTTACCTGACTAAAAAAGATAAATACATATGCCCCTGTGCTACAGTACTGTATATATATATATATATATATATATATATATATATATATATATATATATATATATATATATATATATATATATATATATATATATATATATATATATATATATATATATATATATATATATATATATATATATATATATATATATATATATATATATATATATATATATATATATATATATATATATATATATATATATATATATATATTTAACTAAGAATACGAGAATTGAATATCTCCATCCGTACTGCATAAGCTATACCCCACCTAACAAGCAAGGTATTCTTCCCTATGCCCTTCAATCACTCCTATAATATATTCCCTATCCTATGACTAACAGCAATAACATTTTATAAGGTGTTACTCTGCTTTAGGTTGCAAAACTTAAAATATTCAAAACCAACAAACAAGAGGAGTGCAAACCATATATTATGTTAGCAAGGACCATTAACTTCAACCTTTTGCCTCCCCCAAAACCAATAGCTGTTTATGTACCTTTAAGTGCATCTCCCCCAAAGAAAGTTTAATAAGATACCAAATATTGAACTAATGTACTTATTTATTTTTGGGGTGAAATACAGGTGTTAAAAAGACAGAAATAGATGACACCATAAGTTTCATAAAGTTGGAGTATAAAATAAATACTGTAATTCCATTAATAGATGAAGTGTTCAAAAAATACAAAGGCAAATATGAGGAGGAGATAATTATACAAGAATGAAAATGGGAGTAATGAAAAGTACCCTCATCTGAGAGTGGGCCATGTTTGAAAATGCACATCAGACAACTCTGTGGGGTTGCAATGTGAATTGTCATTAGAAGAGAAGAAAGTCAAATAGATTTTATATTATTTTGAAACTCTACATTTAACCTGTAAAAGGTCCTCTTTCAGAGGCAAATGAAGACAGGGAATCATCTGACTATATAACACTCAGCATTGCAAAGTATCTCATTTGGTGAAATTAAATCCTTTTTGATGTACATGGTACTGTACTGAGAAAGTGAAGACTCTTTTTGTACATTTGAAGGTTTACCTTGATATACCAACTGGAAAAGACATTCTTTTAATCATTAACAGATCGGGTCTGCAAAGCAAACTGAAAAAAACATGGCACTTGAAAATATAAATAAAATATATGCTTAGAAGCAATGCATACCACAAGTACAGTACAGTATCGATAAAGGGAAACTTGTACTCTAAGTTGTAACACATCACATAGATAGTTAAATTTTCTAGTACAGTACTTTGTATATATACTAAGATTTGAAATTTATATATATATACAGTACAATATTTATACTGTACAGGTATATAAAATCACAGTATGGTCTCAAGACACTGGCCAGTTGGAATACCCAAGATATGTAAATATTGTTATTACTATTTAATGAAATGTAATATCCTGTTGCATTTTGCATGTGCTGACTCATTTCAGATAGTACAGTCTGTACTGTATTACCTCTATGAACAGCTACTGTATTGAAGGATTTTGTTTTTTGGCAAAGGGATCAAGTTTAATCTCCAACAGTCTTTGGCATAGCAACTGTGCAAGATGCTCGATGTTAAAATTAAAAATTGTCTGCGAGAAGAGGATGACGTGAGTTGGTCTATATCTTCTACTTCCTGGCACCTGTTCAATGTCAAGGACTTTTAACTTAAGTTGAAGCTGCTCCACCAAGAACAATTTTAATGGGAAGGTTATACATGTAAATTAGTGACTAAAATCGTGTACAGTATTACTGTATTTAGATTAATTCACAGAATGACTACAGTACAGTATACATAATTCAAATTTCACAATAATTTATTATAATACCAAACAAGGCAAGTATTATACCATGATGAATAAAGTTTAATGATCACAAAATAGTTATTACTTAAAAAAAAAAAAAAAAATCACTGAAGGTTCCAATATACCGTACTGTATTGCAAAATAAAAATCTTTAGTTCACACTAATCTACTCACATGCAATAAAATAGCAACTATTACAAGAAATGATCAGAGAATAAAGGAATCATCTACACTGCAACAAATCACAAGAAGGAAGTTATTAATAAAAATATTAACTTGTGATCAACTGAGTTAAATATAATATTTTCTCGTCATAATTTACTCCTGAGTCTTTCACTGGACACACAAAATAGATATACAGTACAGTACAAGACAATTTTGTAAAATGTGAAGTACAGTACATGCAAGAATTAGGTATCTAATCATCATACCTAAAAGAGAAAGAATTATAGAACAATTTATCTCAAATAACAAACTCACCCATAAAGCAAAGATTCAGACTTTGCATAGGAGGCTTCCATATTAATTTCTCTATAGTATATTTTATAACAATACATCACATTTGTACAAAAATCACCTTAAGTTAAAGCTCCAACAAAAACACAATGTTATACATTCAGTAAACTATTAATCCATTTTCAGATATTTTTAATTCATATTTGCTTGGTCAATCTCTTCCAAAAGTTCCTCTGACAGTTCTAAACTAAACAGGAACATCAACAACAACTCTCCAATCTTCCCACCAACCTCTTACTATTTACGGTAGTACTGTATTCTCATGTACAGTATTACACATTCATATTCAAAGTGCATCAGCTACATCCATGAATACCAATCCTGATTCACTGCCTCGCACCACCCGCTAGTAATGACACAACTTATGATCAGTTCTTGTTCAAAGGTAAGTATAAATATAAAATCTGTCAACCTATCAAACATTTCATGTAATCACTAAGTAAACCAGTAATACCATTAAAACACTATACAGTACGTATATCATTTCATCACTGATATGGCATTTAAAGCTTCCTATTGGTAATCAGAAATAACCTTAATTGGTTTCTTCCTTTCATCAGTTGTGTCATTATTTAAGAAATAAAACGAGGCTGTCTGAGCTTGAACTACCACCAAAGGAACATCAAACTATTTAAGCTATATACCTGATTTTGCATATTTATTGCTATGGCTATCTATTGCATTGGTGAACTAACATAGAGCACAATATGTATAGCAGGACAAATGATGGAAAACAGGTGAACTGAAATGAAATCCCTATCATAAGCAACTATTAGCTCATCCAAGTGATCTAGTGGAATACTGCATCTTCTTCAGGTAACTCGAATGTCCTTCTCTCTCTCTCGCTTAGACTCGAGTGTCTTTTTCTCTCTTACTGAAGTGTTTCCCCCTCACTTACACTCAGTCTCATTATCTTTCCATCATGCTCTTGGTCCTTCCACTCTTCACCTTAATAATTTGAAATATTTTTCCCTCACTGTCTCAACCTTTTTCACTCTTTTAATTCTGCATCATTTCTAGATCTTCATTACTAATTCAGTACAGTATATCCCTTTAGGTTTTATTTCACTGATGAGGAGACCAGGACACCATTCTGCCATTTGCACTTTGTTAAATTTGAAATTGGTCTTTACATCACAGTGTTTCATTCCCCCGAGCTGGTCTTTCACTTTGCCTGTTTCACCACCATGCAGAGATGATTCCATTATTCCTTAAATCATAAAACCTTAACAACTCAAAAATTACAGCTGGTGATACAGACATAAACTTTCATGTACATAGGCTGCCAAGAACACAGTGATCTGGAAACCATGTTAGCCATTAAAACATCCACCTGGCCCATACTGTACTCATTTCCATATCTTATCTATCAGACACACCGACAGAATAGAATTAATCACATTTTACTCTTGTTATTTCCTTAAATAAAAAGCTATGGGAGATTATGAATGTTATTGGGGATTCATAGTATACAGTATATGACTAAGTAAAAGTGTATGACTTCTTGGTAATCATCATATAACTTGAATAAACCATATCTTAGTACCTATATGACACAATAAAAAGAATGCTGCAGACCTTGTAGGATCTCATCATTCTCACCAAAATAAAAATAATGCAAAAATCACAAATTTTCTCATTCTATGAAAGTTACTCTTATGATTAGCTGAGGCAGACAAATTGGACCAACAGGAAGTTTCAAGTGACTAATAGTTAATAAAAAGAGCTCATCATCAGGTATATTTTCAGCCACCGGCTGCAACTCTATTAATAAACCATTTATTATTATTATTATTATTACATTACCCATTCTGTAATTTGAACATTGCTTATTTAACACAGCTTGACCCTACTTGTAGCTTCTTCTAATGATCAAAAACCCTTGTCAACATTGTATTAACCAGTTTCTGAATGACAACACGAGTTATCTTTATTTCACTTCAGGGTAGTTGACAAGAAACACGAGAAAAAATGCTGTCATTATTAAATTGTGCCAGAATTCACATATATAATAATGATTATACACTAATGGGATATATATATATATATATATATATATATATATATATATATATATATATATATATATATATATATATATATATATATATATATATATATATATATATATATATATATATATATATATATATATATATATATATATATAAGTAAATCACTGTAGGTGCTGATAATTATTTCAGGTGAGCACAGACTAGGTCTGTACTCACCCTGAAGATGTGAATTACACCGCTTTGGGAACTTCGTGTTTTCTTTCCTTGTGGTTATATATATATATATATATATATATATATATATATATATATATATATATATATATATATATATATATATATATATATATATATATATATATATATATATATATATATATATATATATATATATATATATATATATATATATATATCTTTTCAATCTGACATTCTTGCTTATACAAATAATTAATTTGTGCATAAAACAGCATTATTTCTCAGATCCACAAACCAGTACCTTCTTGATATTCAGTCACCTCTCCTTAACCATACACTTGAGAAATACTCAGTTTTCTTCCTTTATTTTGTTTAAGCATGTGATGAACAAAGCTAATTCTGGTTCAAGCTACAGTACTATACTGCACATACCACTGATATAATGTTCACTGGTCACCATAATATGTATCCAATGATTTTATCACCTTCTATACACTTGTTGCATAGATAACAATAAGTTTCACATACACTTTGTAATTAAATCAGCCGCACCATAAAACACTGGATTGGGTGATTTCTCCTTAAAAATTATCATTTAGGTGGATCTGGGAGTATTGCATAAAATTCATTACTGAAGCTTAGATGAGATACTGCATCCAATATTGTTTCACTTGTTGACAGTAAAAGTTAGAAACATGATTCTTAAAATTTTTCCAACACATTAGGAGCAAACCTTTTCAATCATTCCTCTGACTTATTCTTTTCAACAGTGGTTTTTTGTAGATCCAATTATCTCCTATCAAATCAAAGAGCTTTGTCTCCCACGCAATATTATTTTCTTTGCGATATTTGGCTTCGTCACGCTGCTTTTGTTCGAGGGAACATTTAGCAGCTGTTGCTTGGTCGATTTGGTTGAATCTGTAAATGTACAAGGAAAAATTAACCAAATGTATTTGTCATCATTTTTATTGTACTGCAGTGAGAGTGAATGAATGACAGAAAAAGAAAAGGGATCTGGTTTTGCTCATAGTTCTGGCCAACCTGAAATATAGAAGGAAAAGACATTCAAGAGTAAAAAAGGCAGTTGTGGCACATGTGAAACTCTCTTCATATTAATCAATGACCACTTCTCTCTCTTTCCACACCTTCACACATGTTTAACTCCTGAAAACCACACTTTTATACATTTAAGTTGAAACCTTCCATATGATGGTTTTAGTTTTAAGTCACAACTTGACCAAAACAGAATTTCTTTTAATGTAATACAGTACTTTCTTCTATATCTCAAAACTCATTCCATACTTTTTGGTTCCGTTAACGAAAATTTCCACAACTTAAACATTTGTAACTCCTAGGACACCTGTGTGTGCTGAAACATTTTCTAGGATTGTATTAAAATTGACTCTACAGATATGCACTGATAAATGATCCATGAGAAACCTACTTGAGTCCTGCCGTAACTTCCTTCCACATAAATCTCGATTCATTGGGTGCTTGCTGGGCTATAGACTTGACATTCTTCTTCACAGTACCCATAGTTTGGGTATCAACAAATGGCTTGGGCTCCTGTTGAATAAAATAACAGATACAGTACTGGTAGTTGAAAGATACAAATAATGTTGCATTTGCAAAAATACCATTAGTATTAGAGAATAATGAAATAAATTAGTGAAATAATTAAGTGTGGGACTTTTTTCTTCTTGTAACTGCCAATTATCATAAATCAAATCCTCACAAATAAGAATCTGTCTGTAGTATTGCAATGGAAGATGATTTAGTACACGACATACTACATTAGCAGGAAGTAGATCCATTATAGTGAACTGAATGATTACATAAATGCAGCAACTCTGATCCATCAATTGCCACTATCTGAGACCACTGAAAGACTTTGTATGGTTCAACATGTATTACTAAATGTTTTACTTTATCTTGAAATACTCTATGTGCAATCTTCTACACCAAGGATCAGAGCATAAATCATGTACTATAACTATTTAATATGCAAACCAATGTATATCTTGCCAAACTAACCTTATTGAACAATCTTAGTTTATAATTTAATTGGATTTGGGTTGGTTGGTTCGTATCACCTGCAGTCATAAATTATTTACACTGTTGCTCTCCTGGTTTCTAAGATCACATGGATTCCAAGAACACAGAGAATATATAAATGCGGTACAGTAGAATATTTACTTTCATTGATAATTCATTACACATGCATATGCAGGTATGATAAATTACAGGTAGCACAAGATAAAATTTGAACCATGGGAAATACCACTTACACCTTCCCTGCATTTTGCTGTCATTACTCCATTCCACTCTCCTTCTACAGTGACAATTGGCTTCTTCTCCCCTGGACTGAGCACCTCCGCTGATATCCTGTGTTTCTTGCCTCCATAGAATGGCTGGAAAAAATAAGACAAAATTATACAAGTACTACTGTAGTATTAGTGCATTCAATATACACTACCTCCATGCCATGCCATGAATAAATTATGAGTAACAGGCATGTTAAAATATTTTTAGATCCAGGGAGAACAGTTTTCATTATTATAAATTCAGCAGTGTTAGGGTTTACAGTAAGTCAGTAGTCTCATAGCAGTTTTAATTAATAAGAAAAAAAGTCTCTTTCTGTTCAAATCAAGTTAATTGGCAACTATTAATGTGATGAAGAAAGTTCTGTATCAGCATATAATGTCCATGGTCATGTCCTATGAATCTTAAGGAATAAAACATAATATCTGGGGTTGTTAAAATAGGAAGAGAGAATGAACTAGAAATTAAATGAATGTACTATCCTGTATATACTGATTCCAGCCACCCTTCACCATTGGGGGCAAAAGGCCTGTAAGAGTGGGGAAAAACTGAATCCTACCTTAGTTAAGAATTCCACATTAGCACTGTAGCCCGTCTTGTTACACGTAATCTGACATGTACCACCTAGTTCAACCCAAGGTACTGTTAAGATTGACCTGGGAGAGAGAAATACATTGTTAGGGAAGTTTTCACTTCATTAATTAAAATATGTTATTAATCCAGTACTGTATATCATACATATTATTTCCGAGGAAACAAAATAGTCAATCTTAAGAAGAAACAATTGTATTAATGACTTTGTATGTACCTGTACAAGGAATTGATTTATTAGCCAGGAGGTCACTCCGTTGACATCACCTTGAAAAGTATTATAAGTGCACAAACAAGTACTAAATACAGTATATACAATGACTGTATATAACTTTTTATACCAGACATTATCAAACATGTGTGGTATGAAAACTTATGTAATCTAAGAGGCAATACATACCTGCCATAACCACTTGGGAAGTTAAGGATGTACTCCTCATCATGTTCCATCAGTGATACACAGCCCTGCCCTATGTTGTTCACACAAATAGACAGACCCAAGAACTTTGACTTTGTCCATATGTGACCACAGAAGGAAATCCTCTTGGCCTTGTGTTCAGCATAAAAGGCAGATATGGGAGGATGATGTGAAACTTGCTCAGCAACAAAACAGAGCTGGTTATTTTTGGCCCAGGGTATTGGACCATCTTGGGCATCTACCCCTGTGGTGGTTGTACCCGGAACATCCCAATAACACCTAAAGTTTGAGGAATTTTGAACATTAAACTCCTGAGTGATAACACAATCAGAGAAAATAAATTTTATTGATCCTTAATCTGTTAATTTCATAATCTAATATCCAGTGCATCACAAACCAAAACTAGAGTACTGTACTGTACTGTGCTAACACACGAATGGTAGTGTACATGTACTATAGTTTTTAATTTTATAAAGATGGGGTTAAATACACAGGTCCTTACCTAAAGACCTCACCCAAAATTGGATTGTACGGTTTTCTAGCGACTTCACTTTTACGTCCAGCATGAAAAGCTGAGACATACCACTTCACCACCTGCACCATACGGTCCTGAGGGGTTTGCATGTCAGCAATGCTGAAACAAATGAAACAATCAAATTATTTCAATACTGTATATACCTGTACATAAAAAAAGGTACAGTATGATAGTCACAGACTGTTCACGACATGATTAATATTACACTAAACATATACACCCGTATTATTAAACAACATCTTCCCTTGAAGAGTCCTGAGGTGACACCGCAGTACAGTACTTAACGGGGTGGTGTGGCGGTAAAATTAACTAATTCCAATATTATAAATTAATTTATAATATTGGAATTAGTTAATTTTACCGCCACACCACCCCGTTAAGTACTGTGCTGTGGTGCCCTCAGGACCCATTTAGTTTAAAACTCGGGTTGAAACACGACGACCCTCTTCAAGGGAAGATGTTTAATAATACAGGCGTTACAGTTTACTGAAGTATATTAGCCAAGTACTGATAGGATTTACAGGAAAGATACAATCCTTAACTCAAATAATCCTAGTTTAAGATTTATGGATCGTTCACCTCTACCTCATATAATCCAAGGGTACCGTATATATAGTCTTGGAATGCTGATTTCATCAGTGCTAATACCTCTGAGAGATGGCCAATTGGTGTACAGATTTAAAATGAGAACCACTAAGATAAATATGTTCCTTTACTCTCTCAGTGAAGAACACAAGGTGACACAATACTGCACATTATTCCAAATAGAGTTTGTCTGCAGCTATCATATTAAAATCTTAATACTGTACTAGTATTTCTTCAGTAGTTATTACAGCAAGTTTGGTACAGAATTCAGCAATAATTAAAGGGCATGTGAAGCTACTGGGCTGCAACATATAAAGAAGCATGACCAATGACCTTGCCCCTGAACCTTGTGAGCTTAAAACCAATAGGTACCTTATTCTAATAATGACATAACTGGAGAAGGTACTGTACTAATTTTGGCTGGTAACAACCCACTACAGCATGTTAGAAGATATTACTGTGCCCAGAAACATAAGTGCTAATGTGGGAGAGACAGCAGATGGAGGGACACATGGTCAAATAAATCAAACACTACTTGTCATGGTATCAATTTGTTAAAATCTGATGAAAGTGTCAGAACAACAAATGAATGAAATATATAGATTCAGCCATATAGCTAGTTAATAATTGCTTAATAATAATGACAATGACAAGAATAATAACAATAATAACAGTAATGATAATAATTTGACAGAATTCCTCTATAATCGAATTACTGCACCTGCACTGTACTTACATAAAGCTACTGCATGTAAGAAATATGACTACCTTAAACTAATAATTATAAAACCATGACATTAAAAAATAAAATAAAATGTTTACCTGCAAAAAAGATCAGGATGAGCAAAGAAGTCCGCATACATCTCCAACAGGGAGCGTCTCTCAAGGATAAACGTAGGAAGCACAACTTTGGTCAAGTCCATCCCAATTTTGACCTGATGATAAAGACATAGTAACTGATCAGACAAAATGCTTGATACACACTCAGAGGTGCTAGTATAATCTAATTTAAAAACTAGATTACTCCTTAGAAATGTTGTAACTCACATCTGAATTACTAATATCTAACATCAAAAAAGTGAATATTGTAAGATAGAACTATTATATAAAGAAAACCATTTAATAAACTTGAATTGTAATGTCTGCCAGGGAAGTCAAAGTGGCAGGAACCTTACTGAGAAGTAAATTGTAGGTGTACAAAAACCCAACTGTGAAGATGACATCCAACCTGTGACAATAGATGGTGTATGACAGAGCCGTGGCCCTCCATAGACCCAAGCTCTGGATCATCGTCATCTTCGTACATCAAGTCATAATCCATGGAGGGCTCTGAAGTAAGATTAGCTTGTTCCAGTGCACCACCAACTGTAGGGGAGTAAAATATTTATTACATCTGGTCAAATATAATCTTTCACATGTAGTATATAACACTGCTCGAAAAAAGATAGTTAACATAGCAAAAAATAAATAAAATAAGTTTTCAAGTGCAAAATAGAATTTCACGTGGACACGACAAACTTCCAAGCTCAAGATGGGAGTAAAGAACAAAAATAAGAAGACAAGATGATTATACTGTACTATGAAAAGCTGAATACTACGAACCATCCTATTTTTTTCAACACGTAACATGATTCCAATTAGGAAACATTACAGGGTATTTACATGTATAAAGACAAATACAAATTTAGGATTAAATCATCGGTACCCAGTACTGTACAGTGATTGTCATACATTGAGAGTATTTGGAGCATTAATATTGACAGAAATACCTTTAGTAAAGATTGTAGCTATAATCCATTAATACCTCTGTTATGTATAGCACCAAACAAATGAATAACACTAAAATCAATAGAAATGAGTACTGTATTATCAAATGGTTCCTTACCTGATGCCTTACGGTTGGGGGAAGAAACTGCAGGGGTGGACGGGGACTGTGTGGGAACAACCCTAGATGTGCCATCACTTGGAGAAGTTTCTGGGTTAAAATTAAATTTGTGTCAGGGTTGTGTGACGTCCCCTTGGTCATTCAACATACTGTACTGGTATAGTACATACAGTATGAGTGAAGTGGGGAGAGATACGAAGGCAGGTATAGCTAAAGCAGGTGTAAGTTACAGCTGAATAGTGGAATATGGCCAGTGGCAACATGTCTCTCAGAGACTGATCCATTGCTTTATGAGGGGAGTGAACACACAGTGCAACTGGTGGTGATGACTTTGACATACTGTGTATAAAGGAAATTTAAAGTTTATGTAGAAAACCTTCAATTTAGCAAATATATATTTCATAGAATCTGCAACTACATTATCTATAAAGCTTCCTTTACAAAAAAAAACACTTTAAGCAATTTATCCACACTTTTCCACATATTACATACAAAGTAGAAACACTATTCTAACTACTGCCATGTGTTTTGTTTGCCCTTTGTTAATGGCACTGTGCTGGCTTAGTCTATGGCAATAAGTCCTTAACAGAGTGTACTATTGCCTTTCTTCACACTAGCAGGTAAAGTAATAACTTAAAATAATGTCTAACTAACTTCTGAGTTAGTCTTACTCTACATTGACATATGGGAGTGAAATATGGTCTTGGAATGAAGCAAAATATAGTACTGCACTGCAAAATACAAGTTAAAGAATTGAGTTACCAGAGGGTTGCATCTGGTATGAGATTGGAAGATGAGAAACAGTGAAGTTTACAGGGTGTTTGGAATGTATGAAGAGGGCTGAGGCTGTGACATGCAGAGTGATAGAATGGATGAAATGAGCTCTCTGAGATGGTATGAAGAGACGAGATGGATGCTAGAAGACAGAAAGAAAATGTGGGTGCATAAGAGGCAATAAATGAGGTGCACTGGGATGAGGGACATAGCATACATCACAGGATGAACAGGGACAGAAAGAGAATGGGGGAGGAAATGCAATGAATGGAGTAGGCAAAGGAGAGGCTGTTACACACCAAATGCTGCCATCTCAATACTTAAATATATTAAGTGGTATTAACTAGAAAGTCATAAATTTTATAGTGAAACAGAAATAAAGGTATAATAAAAATATACTGGTAGTAGAGAACTTAGGAATGGTCCCCAATCTAAATAGGTTAGGGAAGGTTGGGGCTCATTAGAATTGGGACCCATTTAACCAGTTACCCTACAGGGAGCAGCAGACTGACCTGTTGAAGCAGAAGAGGCTGGGGGGTCGAGAAGAGGCACCTGTGATGCAGGGTCATTAGAGGCACTGCTAGGGCTGGTCACCGACTCACTGGTGCCGCTGCGGCCAGGGATGCTCTCTACTGCGTCTTCGAATAAGCGTGGCCCACTGTAACCAAAATAAATTGTTACACATTATCTTTATTGTTTTCCTAGGTTATATATTTTTCCCTGATTTTCTAACATTTCCTGACAAAGATCTAATAGTTTACTGAGAAGAGATTTGAATTTCACTTGCACTATGACTACAGTATATTACTATGCTTCAACATCCTATAAAAGGCTTACCCACATCAGTAAATTTGTCATTCAGTAATCTTAAACAAACACAATGACACAGAATTTGGCATACTGTACGTAGAACACAACAGCAAACGGCACAGAAATGTTGGGAATAGAGCATTATCTGATACACACATCCACTGGCTGGGTCTTTATATTTCTGTGTTCACAACTGAGTTCTTATCTCTTGTGTGAAAGACTTTCCAGTGGAGTTTAAAAGACATAACAGATGATTTTATTGTTCTCATCAGTTTATAAAAGTTTCAGAATTAATTTTAATATCTCAGTTTTACCAATATGCCAGTGTTTATACAATAATTGATAGAAATAAAAGAACAGTATTTTATTTTATTTTTGTACTGTATTATTTATATTATTTCCCACAAATAAAAAAAAATCCCACAACAACAAATACTAGGTAAATACATTAATAATAAAAAAATAAGTTACTGTTACTGAAACATGCACTCTTGTTATAGCATAGACCCAAGTGTAGGTGTTAAGTGAGAACCAACAACAGTGTGACACGTCTACCGTCCAGGTCTGTCGAGGGAAGGGTATTAGAACCTGTGGTAAAAATGTCTATTATATGTCTCCACCTTCAGACAAGAATTGGCATTTTTCCCCCTTCTCCTAATTCCCTTCCCTCTGCACATGCCACAAAATACATCCACGTCAATCATCTCAGAACTCAAGCAACAGACATCAGTAACATACAGTAAATTAGTGGCTACAAGTGCTAGTTAGTGAAGTCTTTCTGGCTTGCTTGGCTCACTAGATCACACTCCTGGGTGCTAGTCAACTATTTCTTTTTATAAATACTGTATTAATTAATGGCATTGTACACTAAAACACAACCAAAGAGCATAACTGAAAAATTACATGAACACATAATCATTCAAGCTATGAGAAACATGAATGGACTGTGTTAAGTTAATGATAAATGGAGAAGAATGAAGGCTATAAAAATCTGTTATAATCTAAGTGAATGATAAATGGAAAGACTGAAGGCTATAAAAATCTGTTATAATTTATCGTTCATGGCACAAAATCCAAGAATGATAACCAAAACACGACACAATCACTGCAAACGAAGCAGGAAAATCAGGCTTTATATAACCATGGTCAAGATCTTGACTAAAAGGTGGGGCCAGACTATTAAGGGTGCTGGAGGGAGGGAGTATGGGAGGGAGGGTCAACACGGGATGGAAGTGAGGGGAAGAGAGGGCAGCGCAGAGTGTAGTTAGGAAGGAAAAGATGATTTGAGGGCAGAGGAAGAAGGAAGGATGATGTAGAAAGGGAAAGGGGAAAGGAGGATGGTACAGCAAGGGCATAGGAAGAGGAGGAGGGTACAGGAAGGGCAAGAGGAGAGGAGAATGATATAGGTAGAGCTTGGGGAGAGAAGGATGGTGCATGGGGAGAGGGGAGGATGCAGATAAACACAGCGGCCTTACCACACTTTCAGGCGGCGAATATAATCCATAACAGAGGAGGCACTGGGCCTCCTCTGTTTGCTTCCAAAATAGGACCACATGATTGTCTCTAGCATCAGCAGACAGTTGAGGGCCAATGCAGTGCCACTAGCTGGCTTGCCTGTGAGCGCCTGGCACTTGACACGCCAGGCCTGGTCAAGGAACTTTACCACGTATGACCATAACTGTCACCATCGAGGATATCACCATTAACCTTGGCTGGGGCATTGTTTGTCACCTACCACACTCTGGCCTCAACCATCAATGGTCACCACATTGTCTTACACGAATACTGATCATCGCACTGCTATTTAAACTTATTGCTGGTTCACTGTACTGTATTTGTTATTACTACACACACATGATGTGATAAACACAAATCTAAATTCACTTGTTTAGTTTATCATTTTAACTTTTGATATGAGCCATACTGGTACAGGTACAGTACCATGTCTGAGCTGTAGTCACACTCAATAATCACAGTGTCATTCCAAACACAACTTGCCGTAGTTATTCAAGAACTCGTCAATGAAAAAAAAAAGTAAAAAATAAAAGAACTAGTGAGCGTATTAGTGTTCTGCTGAAGGTTGGTGACTACTGCCCGTGATGTCTACACTCACCACGATTTCGTTCTGTGGAGGAAATACTGTGGGTGAGTCCCGGAACTGCACCGAGTCACTGTTAGTAAGTCACCAATGTTACTCTGTCTAATATCGGTTACAGAGATCACTGTTCCCCAGGGCTCTTAGTGAGGCATAATCTAATAGAGGATTACTGTACTGTACTGTCCTTCCACTACAAGCAAACCCTGTGTCTGGAATGGTTTTTTTTTTTACGGGACTAGCCCACCCGGGCACAGGTCACTGACCCACATCGGGGACTGGGGTGCAAAAATGTAATACTGTAGTAATAATAATAATAATAATAATAATAATAATAATAATAATAATAATTCAGATACATAAAATTTATAATAAAAAATATAAAAATAATAAAATAACAATGATTATAATAATAATAACACTGATATACTAGTAATAATAATAAAATTATAATAATAAAAAAGAACCATAAAGAAATAAAAAATAAAAAAGATCAAGAGAGAGAAACAATATATGTATGTTGCTGTCAGTGGCAAGAGAAACAATTGAGACCCTGCAATTGTGTGTAAATGAGGCAGAAAGTCAGATCAGCAACCTGGGACTTGGTCACAATTTTTGTGGTGCCATATGGCAGCAGGGTCTACCATTAGACAACACATTATGCTTCCAATATCTTCCCAGGCGGTAGTACCTCCCTGTTTGGTAGCTGCCTACTACGTACTCACATAAAATCAAGCTTAATTTCACTATTGGATTATACAAGACACCCCGGTCATTCGGTACAACCAGTCACAAATTTGGATCATAGTTAAGGAGACTTGCAACTTGCAATCTGTTGCCGATATGAAGTCTAAAGACACTGAATGATATATCACACTCTATAAGATCATGTTACCAAGTGGTTTTTCCTCTAATAATAATAATAGTCACAAAATAACCATACTCAAACTACACAGCCATAGTCTTTAATGAACAACTTCACATTTTACAAGTTTGACAGGAATTTCTCAGGTGAGCGACAGTCCTTTAATTATATGATAACAAAAGGTAAAGGCCATCATTTGCTCCATGACAAGAGAAGTAAAAATAATGAGATGAGTTTCAAGTGCTCAAGGAGTTGGACTTATGTAGAGTGGACTAATATAGTGGAATAAAATGTTACTTTCCAATAGTCTGTTGTTTATACAGTACAGTACTATACATAGCTTCATCAAGGTAGTATACTTTTCTTGGTGTGTGTGTGTGTGTGTGTGTGTGTGTGTGTGTGTGTGTGTGTGTAGATGGGAATGTTTACATCGGTGTAGGAGTGAAAGAGCGAAGAACATAATTAGTAACATAACACATACACAATTACAGAGCACAGCAGCATACATGGCATTAATAACGGGCTATATTCTCATCTAAATATTACATTAATACAAGTAGTACCATAAAACGTCCACCACCCACCCTTACCACAAATGTGTATACACCAACACAAATAATTTCGAGAAACTCAAAACATAAGAGAAAACAAAACAACTAGAATGATGTAACAAAATTCATGTTATAATGGCGCCCAGAAACCGTGTCATATGTGGACCCGTGAACACCTGCCTCCTACACATACACCTGTTCTACCAGGAACCAGCGACCACGTCATGAGTTACTATAGGTATACCGTTACCCACCAGACAAAGTGTTAAATAAGAGACACCATGAGACACCCAGTACACTTCGAGGTTGGTTCCATCTATGCATGTTTTACCGATTAATTACAGAACGTTGACTACATGAGACTATGTTGTGATTTATAAACAGGCGTCGTGTCTAGTTTATAGTACACTAAATATTATGACCGTCTGTATTGTTCTCACGGTACTAAACAATCACACACCAGACACACACGTTCTTCCCTTCCTACGATATAATGATCCATCAGCTTGAAGAACTAAATAAATATTTCAACATTATCACATTGACTTGGCAGCCTATTCACCTCCCTATCACACGTACAGTTTAGAAAGATTAACAAGTTTGATAATTAGTGGGTGTAAGAGTCAGTAATGTGTGTGTGTGTGTGTGTGTGTGTGTGTGTGTGTGTGTGTGTGTGTGTGTGTGTGTGTGGGTGTGTGTGTGTGTGTGTGTGTGTGTGTGGGGGTGTGTGTGTGTGTGTGTGTGTGTGTGTGTGTGTGTGTGTGTGTGTGTGTGTGTGTGTGTAATGACTAAAACAAAAATAGTTGGGTGAGATTATTAATGGCTGTCATGGTTAGTAAGTATAAGATGTGTTTTATGATCTGTGAAAGTATGTTGTGATTTGTAAGTGTGGTGCGTTTGGTATGATTGGTGTGTGGGGTGGTTTAGTGTGGGGTGGAGTGGTTTGGAGTGGTGTGGAGTGGGTTAGTGTGGAGTGGTGTGGAGTTGTTTAGTGTGGTGTGGTTTAGTGTGGTGTGGAATGGAGTGGTTGAAGTGTGGAATGGTGTTTAGTGAAGTGGTATGGTGTAGTGTGGTGTGGAATGGTGTAGTGTGGAATGGAGTGGTTGTAGTGTGAAATAAAGTGGTGTGGTGTAGTATGGTGTGGTGTAGTGTGGAGTAGAGTGGAGGGTCCCGAGCGCTGAGTAATGAGGAACCCCAGGAAGGATATCCACATCCGCTGACACCCCCACCACCACCAGCCTAAGTTTACCCAATCTGTGGTATAATGTCTAGAAGAGGCGACAAATAGCTGCATGGGCTCGGTAATATATACGTATGCACAACATATGTAGACATTA